CTACTGATATTGAAAGAAAACCAGCTATGTTAAAGGGTAAAGGCTCTTCAGCTTTTATCTTTATTTCAGTCGATATTACTATATCAACATCTAAAAGGGGGCTCAACAGGTAGACATTTTGTTCATCCCAGTGTTTTTTAGGCTCCTCACATTAATTTGAAAAATGTGGGGAATCTTCTTTTGGTTTCTGATAACTTCTTCATTGAGAACGTTTTGGGCTTATCTGTTCCAGTCTTTAAATGCGCTACATGTGGCCATTTATATGAATTTCGTTCAAGTCACTTTCACTTTCGATAGGTACTGCAGGCCTTCCCTCCCTTTGTCTGTCCAGAACTTTGCCGTTCTTCATCAATACATAATTGTAGTCCTGTTCACTTGCACAATCTTTTGTGGCCCAGAACAGCCATTACTGGAGCTTCGTCAGGTTATCATTGATGTAAATTCACTCTGCATTCAAGGCGGTATGTTTGCTAACCCACTGGTTTCTTTCGAACCTGTCATTGAACCACACAATGATCTAAGGAATTTTGCCTCTCTTGCTCTCAGTCTTTGCATGGACTCAATCTTATCAGCATCAGGCTGCAGTAGGGGAAGTTTAAGCTTTCTTGCTAGGTTATTCATGACCTCTGATAAGTCTTCCTTGTTGTTTTGAGCGATACCATGAATTTCAATGTTAATCCGTCGTGAATATTGTTCAGCGTTCTGCATTGCCCATTCTAGTTCTTTAATTCTTTCGTCTCTTTCTTTTCCGAGCTCTTCAATTTCGTTTGTCCTTTTTCTCAACTCATTCGTGACGCCTGCCAATGAGTCCACCTTTTTAGCAAGTCATCATACTGTTTCAAAAGTATGCTAGCCGACTTTTCTATTGCTTCGACCGTTTTCTCTTGCCTTTCTAGTTTCGGTATCATTGTATCGTTCTTTGTTGACTGCACATTTATCTTTATTTCAATTTCATCCAGTCTGCTCAAGACCTCTGTCAGTTTTCTGCTTGTTTCTTGTAGTTGTGTTAACACAGCTGTTTGCCTTTGATTTTCGGCTTTGTAGGCTAGCTCTGTTGCCTCATTATTCGCTTGTGGTAATTGTCGCTCGTCATGTATTTTACAAGTTGTACATCGTCAAGGCAACAAATCAGCGGTCGTCATGCTTTTAAGTTTGGTTTTGCTGATACCCGAACACTTCCCAGTGTGATAGAAACGTTTGCATACCGGACATTCTAACGCTTGGGTATCTGGTGTCACTTTTTTTTAACACAATAAGCAATCGCTTTGGTTTCCAGACAAGGGCATGATTCACAGCAGGAATAGGCATTCCAAGGGAGAGTCAGGTGCTAACAAAAGGTCAAGCGAAAGCTAGCACCCACATGAGTGTCTAAAACGGTGACGTTAAACCCGCTCCAAGCACTCCGCTGGACTGCCTCTATCTCTATTTCGGGATCCATTTCTGCTGTTTCCACAGAGGTATCTCCAGGATACTCCGTTAAATAAAAATGCATTTCAGTATCCGTATGTTTAACTTAAAATACGGGTACCTTAGCATTAGAGCTCAGCTCTTAGGCGGGAAATTGAATCGGTGTTAAAGTCACGTAACGTCAATTTTCCCGCTAAGTTTAGCGGCGAAAATGACTTCACATTACTTTGTCTGACGTCACCCATGAAAAATTCGGTTTTCCCGCTAGATTTAGAGGGACAATTGACGTCACGTGACCTCAACACCAATCTGAGTTGGTGTTGGAAACTGAATTGGTGATGAGGTCACGTGGCCTTGATTCTCCAGCAAAATTTAGCGGGGAAATGTGGGAGGAGCACAGGGTACAGAGGAGGAGGATGGGTGGATACGCATGAGTAGGAGGGGAGGGCACAGAGGAGGAGGAGTGGAGGGAACGGAGGAGAATAAGGGAGGAGAAAATGAGGGGGAGGAGAGGAGGAGGAGGAAAGGAGGAGGTGGAGTAAAGAATGAGGGGAGGAAGAAAGGAGGAGGAAAGAGGAGGAGAGGAGGATGGTAGGATAATTCGAGGAGGAGGTGAGGAGTAGCTAGGGTACTGTAAAGGACGAGGGGCGTACGCTCTCCTCCGTACCCTCCTCTTCTCCTGCTCAAGAGCTGTCTCTAATTTCGCGTTACAGAAATTTGTAAACGTCTTTCATTTCTTGTATCCCCGAATACTTTTCGGAGCGTGTCCGTCTAGTGCTGGAAAATAATTTGAAAGCTATTGCCATCTTGTTCTTTATTCTTTATTCTTTATTCAATGATTACCCCGCAGTGCCCGAGGGCGTTACAGCAGGGGGTTACAAGGATGAAAAGAACACGTCTTCATTGAAACAGCACACTTGCTCTTCAGACAGCCGATTCCACTGTGCAATTGTTCGTACAAAAAAGGAGTTTGCAAACATGCATGTCCTAGCGCGGTACTCTCTAATTTTAAGACTATGATCATTACGACTAAAACATAATAGGGTTCTTTTAAGTAATTCTCGCTATTTATTCCCGTTTTATTTTTAACTATTGAGTATAAAAATTTTAGTCGCAGTTTTTCCCGACGTACGGAAAGTGGTTCCCAGTTTAACATTTTTTTCATTTCTGTACAACTTTCTTTCCTCCCGTATCGTCCAAGAACAAACCTAGCCGCCCTGTTTTGTATTTTCTCCAGCTTATCTATCAACGTTTTTTGGGCTGGATCCCAGACAGCACATGCATACTCTAAAATGGGTCTAACACATGTTAAATAAGCAGTTGTCTTTAAGTAAGGTTGTGAGCATTTTAAGTTACGTTGGATAAAATTAATTGCCCTGCCAGCTTTTAAGACTACTTCCTCTATGTGGGCATTCCATGAACAGTCAGATGACAATATGACACCCAAGTATTTGTAAGTAAGTTCCTTGGTTATAGGGTTATTATTTATAAAATACTGAGATTCAATTTGTTTCCTTTTCTTTGTAAAACAAAGGTTAACACACTTTTTGTGATTTAAATTCATTTTCCACGTAGAGCACCAACTTTGAATACGATCAAGGTCTGCTTGCAACTGGGCGACATCATCTGAACTCTTAATCTTTCTATACACTACACAATCATCAGCAAAAAGTCGAATACAAGAGGAAATTCCAACAGAAATATCATTAATATAAATTAAAAACAAAAGTGGACCCAGGACAGAGCCCTGTGGAACTCCTGATGTTACATCAACGTAATCAGATTTCTTGCCATTCAGTACTACACATTGACGACGCTGGAACAAGTAATTTTCTATCCATCTAAGCACAGCCGAGTCTAGATTTAACATTCTTAGTTTGTTGAGAAGAAGTGAGTGTGAGACCGTGTCAAACGCTTTTCTAAAATCCAAGAATATACAATCTATTAAACTAACCACACAAGAATCACTCTTCTTTCGCAGTAGCTACGCGACAGAAGAAATGGGGCTTAAACATTTTGACTATAAAGTTGTATATCGCTAGGCCACACCAATGAGGAGTGGTCGTGCGATTTTAGCTTGCGTCGTAAGAGGGTAAACCAAATTATTCCAGAAGTATTATCCTAATACTCATAATGTTTTATTTTGAACCACTAGAGAAGAAGGGAGACATTTCTTCTGATAAATCACGTTTTGTTTTTCAAAAGCGCTATATACCGACATACAATTTACCGTATTTGTTCTAATTTAATAACTGATTTAACGATGTCTTGTCGAGTGCAAGTTTAAATGTGGGGTTTATCACTACCACTGTAGAAATATGAATGGCAAAAAAACCACGATTGCAACCGCGCGAGAACTGGCCGAAGCTCTCTCATAGAGGGGAGCGCATTGAGTAAATATACAAGTAAATCGTATATGGATATTTCCTATCTTATTTATTAAAATGGCCGATATCTGATAAGATAAGCTAATGACCCAATATAATACTCCAGCTGAACAGAATACGAAGCTGTCACCAACAATGCAGCTAACCTTGCCACGCGCGTCGCCGATCAAGCGCGCCCGTAGCCGAGTGGTTGTCGTCCTTGTATTCTAGCAAAAGCCTCAAGGTTCGATGCCTGGGAGCGGATGCGCCCTTGTGTTATTTCTGGAAATGTCGCGTTCGAGTGAATTCGAGGACATTCTCGTGTATTTGAGGTTCGAATCTTCTACGCGTAGAACGTTCTAAACCAATTGTTCCAGAAGCCCACGCATGTACATAGGCGGCTCCGCGTGGGGAGCCGCGGTCAGTCTTGCCCCGGTGCTCGATCCTGCGTTTCGCCGACATCGACGCCTGCGACGCGAACCTTCTTCCATTTTGTATCGAGCACAAGTTCGCCCCATTAAACTCTCAGTTTCTGTAGTTAGTCACCGCCTCATCATTGGTTATTAGTTACAAGTGATCAGGTCAGTACCCCGCTCACCTCTATGAGCGGGGTACTCACCGAAGCCCTGTAATAGAGGTGAACACATTGAGTAAATATACACGTGAATTGGCATATTAATTTTTGCTATCCTATTTATAAACATGGCGCATATCTGTTAACAGAAACGTATGACCCAATAAAATACTCTAGCACAACAAAAAGTAAAGCTGTAAACAACAATGCTGCTAACATATTGATTTTGATATTTGCGCCAATTCTTGCTTGGAGCAATGTTTACCCTTATTGTAAAAACGTAAACATTATTTGACATTTTCAATGAAGCAGGTTTGTATAGAAGGTTACATAATCGAGGTGTCGAAATGGCTGAACCGTGTTTGGTGCACATACTACGTTTTAAAGTACATTCGCCTGCCCTATAAGGGATAAAAGTAATGTAAGTGTTCGTAATTCACTTTATTTATTTATTTAGTGCATACTGCGGACCTTTCGAGGTCCAAGCAGGGTGGGCGGAAAACATAAATAACGCTACAAAAAACAATGGTTTCACAGAAACAAGAAAACAATGGTGGAAAAACTGCCGATATATTTGGGGTGTATATAAAGTCGCGAAAAGTTACTCAACAGGCAAATAATTGTTTCACCAGGCTTTGATAAACTATATCAAAATGAAGATAAGTGGTTTCGTTCTTATCTCAACATTCGTGGTCACCGTACTCACCGCCAAGTGTGAGTAAAACTTTGAGGTTGTGTTATAGCTTGGTTAAGGGGGTTCCTATCCATTATCATGTGCATGTCAACACTGTCAACCCCTGGTCCTTGTATTGATCGGCATCGCTTTTTGAGAAAGATGATTACTAATCGAATCTGAGTTCACAAAACATTCTAAATAAATATTAATAGGAACCTTTTCTCTGGTTATGCAAAAGCCGTCGCTCCTGTTGTACAGCCCTACTAGATAAGAATAGAAACTAGCAAATACCGCTGCGTGGAGGACACATCGAATTTCGTTCCAGTTATTGAGGAGTATGCTATGAGATAGACTGCATGTGCCAAGGATCCATGTTTAATTGAAATGTCATTTGTTGCCTATAGGATTGATCTATTGATAAATATAGCACACGAGATATGAGGCCAGTTTCTGTCATTTTAGACATGCCAGTGCAAGGACAAAAAGCAGCATTTAGTTTCGTCACTGTTACAATAAAAGAAGAAGGCTCCGACAAATATTTTGAACTATTACAACGATGGTACGATAAAACATGTGCGACACGAGTGATATGTGTAATGAAATATAAACATAAATCCGTATTGAGTCTACTGTAAATATCAAAATTTAACAAGTTTAATGTCTCGGTCTCCGGCATCTTTCCTTTTTATTTTGGCGCTGGTTGATAAATTCATGGAACTAATTTCGCATTTGAAGCGGCGCATTAGCGCCGCTTCAAAATCGCATTTTAACCTTTGTAGAAAATGGTGTTCCCAATGTTATTTTTCTACTGGGCGCTTCTTGTTCTTTGTGCTTAGTCCTTGTAGTTTCTTGTTTTTTCAACTTTAGTTTTCTTCTTTATTTCAAATAATTCACATCTTTAGATGAGCGCACATGACCTTCCATGATTAAGTATGATAGGAAAATATTAGGTATATATCAATGTTTAGGTGATTAAATTCGATATAAGTTCTGTCGAAGTACATCTTTCCCGCGCGAGTTAGAAGGACCAACACGTTAAACGTTGGCATACGTGGTAAGCTCCATATGTGAATATAAGTGTTTCGAATGAGCAGCTGGAGACCGGAACGTTGTGAGCTTACGCAACATCAATTAATGCAATTTGTGAGCGCTGTGCACTCTTGAAACGTGAATCTCGCAAAGAACAGGCACACACCCACGTGCGACCGGACATACACAGAAGAATAGCCGTAAGATAGTGACTGCGTATCTTGCTTTTTTGACACAATCGCGTGTTTTTGTTATTATATATTTGAAAAAATACCCCCTACAAGACTAGGCGCTTGCCTGACGTCGTTGTTAGTAGATTCATGATCCGCCCCGTGCGGCTAAAACCTGAAGCTCGACGACGTCCGTCTTGAAAACTCGGATTGCTGGCGTCGGTCTCGTTGTGAGATGTGGCAACATGCGCTGGCGCTGATACCGACGCACAGTAGGTGGCGCTGCACGGATTTGCTGGCCATGACGTTTGGAAGGGGGGTAAGCCTTGTCTTCTAGGCAGGCAAATATCGTCTGAATCCTCTAAATAACCAGCGCTTTAGAGTAATGACATTTAGGTCACCTTGGTGCAAACATTTATGGTTTCCAACTACTCTAACGATTATTTTATTTCGATTCAAACTAACCGGTTTTCTGTCCTCCAGAATTGTTAAAACAGTTTGCGACAGAGCAGAACTGAGCTTCTTGACGCCTCACCTGAAGCTCAGGAAGTCGCTTTTTTCAATCGTAACCAACAACGATTGCGTCCGCTCTGCCAAAGCAGCAAAATGGCGGCTTCCACAAGATTATTGGGGAATGAGGAGCCGATACTCTAAGCGTTGCTTATTTTTAGCATAGAGGCTTTTATATTTATATTGCAGGTACAATTTCCCGAGCGGTAATTAAAATAAATCCTTTTGGAATCCCTTTCAATTACTATATAGGGTGTGAAAGTGTGAAAACCTAGAAATATGAACTAATGTGGCAGCACCTGCGTATTCAGCGTCAATGAGCCCGCCTAAAACGCCTTAAATAAAACGGGGCAAGCGCTGCATGAACCGTAAATTCAGTCATTAAAATATTATTAAACTAATTTGAGCTCCTCATCTGACGTATTTTGCCGGATACTGTATTGTTTAATGTCCGCTGTGCCTGATAAATGCATGGGGACTCTGGAACCAGCGTAACGTTCGCCCCCTCCGCCTCCCCTTTCTAGATAGGTTTTCATTAAAAATATACAACCTGTATACTTAGGCAAACGTACGCAGTTCGATTAGTATTCTATAATTTTTTTCGTATTGTCCCCACTGCAACAGACGAGGTGATAAACACCATATGCTTAACATAAAAAAGGTAGAATGAAAAAGAAACAATTTACTTCACTTTCGTTCCCATCGGAAAATGATAACGCTCAACTGTGCGTATTATGCGAGCAAGTCTACAAATGGAAGTGCATTTCAAAGCTTATCAGACTCGGCATAACGGTTGTTAGAATGTTATAAGTAAAGCCGACTTTTATTTTTACACTTCAAAAGTTGGTTCACGCCGGTCCGTTGAATGTGACTAAATTTTGGCCATTATTTACTTCGTCTATAAACATCGTTGAGTGATATCTCAGTGCAAAAATAAGCAGTTATTAAGGTATTCTTCTTTCATACAAGGGTGGTTTCTCGTATCTAGGTAAGTTGTTCAGAGCAGTGAAGAAAAAGTTCCACTTCGCGTGATTTTGGTAGTAGCACGTATGATAAATATTCTGCGAAGTTCATGGCAAAGTAGAAGCCTTACACGATATGACATGTGTGTCGTTGCTAAATAGTTCTTTTGGATCGCGTTTAGTTCTCAGAACTTATGCCTTACTTTTTTTTCTGATTACGTTCTTTTTTTTTTTTTGCTTGCACTCTAAGAAAAGCTCTGTTTCTCACCACTAAATGAAGTTAATAAGTAACTGATATTGCAGTCAGCGTCTCACACGCTCCGCTAGAGGAGACAATCAGGCTTTTTTTTTAATTTTTCAGCGAGCCCGACGACGGCACACGAAATTCGGATGAGGAGCCAAGTACGTTCGAGTTCTTTTATTACTTTTCCTAAGAAGAAAACTCAGTTAATCGAATTGGGACAATCGCACAACAAAGAAACAAGCGTAATTTGACAGAAATAGCATTACTCGTTTATAAAATCATTAAAATATTCAATAAAGATTCATTTGGAAACTTAGGTGTGCATTTTGGTGTGCATTTTTATTTTCTTGATATAACGAGGAGGATACATTCTGTATATCTATATTAATCGAACACGAAGAAAAATGTTTATTTCACGGAGTATATCCACATTTGACACTGTGCGCAGCGGCTTTCACACATCAGTGTGGCAACACGAAAGTCAGTCCATGAGCTTCCGTATAACACAAGATGTTTATACTATTTGTTCTACTATGGTGTGCGAAAAGCCTAATTCACTTCTCCTTGTCAAATTAAGGGGAACCAGACATTTTATAGTCCAAATTCAATAGTGTCAAAGTTAACTCAACTTGGTCAACGCGCTCAGCTTGAATAAGACATTTATCCGTATGAACTAAAAATATCTCATCTAAAGAGGTCTTATTTTTTATGCTTAAACATGTAAACAAACGCAGTAGAGTGGAACCATCTCCCGACCAAAATAAGTATGTTTGCAAATCAATTTTTTTATTAATGTTCCATAATGAGACCATCTCTAACCGCTTATCAGTCGAGCTCTGCGCGGATAAGTCATATCATTCATATCCGATTCGTATCGCCATATTGTGTATCCCCACTCCCAACCGCCTATGCGATATTCGTAAATGATTGCATAAAAATTTGATCCGCATCCGATATGCATTCGCACACTTTGTATCCGCATCCGAGTTACATCTGCAATACTCGGAGCCGCATTCCACACAGAATCCGTACATTCATTTTACATTATAAAATATATCTTGAACGAAAAAAGGCATCTACTTAATAAGCCATTGGATAATCGTTGTTAACTTTTTTTTTGAGTGAGAATACGGTAAATAATATGTTATCGTGTTTTGTTTGATCGTATTTATATTATCAAAGATAATATTTCCAGAGGGTACACATCCCGTTAATGGAAAAATGATCCCACTCGTGAGGTTGCGATTAGTGTTTGGGGCAGTGTCCAGAAAATGCGCCAAAATATTTGTTTTCGTTGTTTTGTAACAGTTAATTATGCAGTCGCGTATTTCCTTTGCATATAAATTAACAGTGTCACTTTATTTAGGTAAAACAATATAAAAGTGGGAGAGGAATGTTGTTATTTATTGCAGCGAAGTACTCGTATAAGCCTGTAATGCCCCAGTACACGGAGAAAATGTCGCACTATTTAATGACGGCCACACCTATAAGTTTCAGGTTTAAACATAAACCGCAACAGCATGCTCCGGACCATACACATAGCAGCAATTGGGAAAGCCAAGAAAAAGTTAACGCACACACGGGCCAGGTTTCACTGGTCGAGGTTGCTCTGTAGAAACAAAATATCGTCAACGATGAACGGATACAGACGGCTTCGCCTGTCTTGAATCACAAGGCCGGCTAATAAGATGTCTTATTCTTCAACTGGTACACTTGATGCTGGAGTGGCATGCAGGAACTGCGCTATAAGACTGAGTTGCGAAACACTCGTGAAGTTCGAATTGAATCTCTCAAATCCACATGTGGTCGATGTATTTATTGACTTCATCACTTGCTATGTCTGCTACATCACTTACCGCGCCCATTAGATCAGATAGAATACCCCTGGGCTTCTATCAGATGTGTTCCTTTTTCTGAAGTGGTTTTGAAGCAGAGATAACATCGACACCTTTGACTTCACCTTCCTTTTTCACTCGACGGTCTTTGGCAGCCGCGATCATCTTTCTGACATACTGTGTACGGAGTGCCAATCTGAGTCTTCGAGCAGAAAAACACTTTTAGTTTGGGTGTATAAACACAGTAACCTTGTGCAAACTTTGCACTTACTGTTTTTTTTAAGGATCCGTGAGCATGTATCCTTAAGTGCCTGCAGAAGCTTCGAGCCCCTACTTTCTTGCTTTAGGTGCTTAAGAAGTCATGTTTTCCACGCGACCATCAAATATGCATATTGCTAAATTACCCAAGCATCAAGGAGAATTCTCGGAATGTAGATTTATTTATTGATTTATACACAGAGCTGGCCCGTGGGCCGTGGCAGGGAGGAACAACATTTAACAGAACGAAACAGTTCATACCTCCAATAAAAACTTTGAACAATTTCGTATTTACGAAATTGGATAAGAGACGCGTGCAAAACACAAATGAAAAGGAAAATAAAAGTAAACTAAATGCACGTAAAAAAGTTATATTCAATATAACATTATGAATATACTGACAACAAAGTTCAACAATGATTGAAGACACGTGCTGTGTACATTCAAACTGATAACAAAGAATGCAATATATAAAGACACAACTACAATACTCCATTCAAATTATCACGCGATATATACATATGTAAGTTCGCAGGAAGGGAAAGGAGAGAAAATAACACCAATGCGATATGCTTAGGTTTTAAACTCAGTAAACAAGTCTAACAGCATCCTCAAACATTAAAATAAGGTTGCAATTTACAAATTTTTCGGGAAGCTTATCTGAGTCGTTGATTATACTCGCAAAAAGAGAATACTTGAAACATCGATTTTGGCCATATACGACTGCAATGCTTTAGAATGATTCAGTCTAGCTAAACTCTTGGTAATGTTCCTAAGATAAATGTCGCTGCTGATCTTTACCCGGCGAACGCGCTCGCCGTCCTCGCATAAAAGATTCAAAATAATTAATCAAAACAGGGCGTTGACGAACGCGCGTGCACTATGACATTTGTTCTAGAATATTTCTTTAGAACAGTTACTGTTGCACAAGCCACCACGTGCGGCGCTTAGGCCGACCATTCCAGCATTCTCGTTGATGCTTATATAATTTGGCAAGAAGTCGTTAGAGTGTCCGACAACTTGACTAATGCAGGGCACTACTTGTGGCCTTGAAGCTCTCTTCCTCTACTTCGTTGACGCGGTTTGTTTTGCTTTTTTTTCTATCAGAACTGCAACAATTTGGCCACACTGCTTGAAATTAGATAAAAAACATTATGAACTTTTTGTTCCGCCTAGTCTCAACACCTCATTTGAGCGAGAAGTTCAAACGGCACTGCAGACCAGAACGCTTGGAGGAGGGGGACGAATGGGGAACGGGGTTTCTAATTTCTTTGCACGAAGGGCGTTTTTACATTTTTGTTTTCTGCCAAACAAGAACACGCGTTTCCGAGATGATCGATGCCTCTGTATTCTTTACTTTTCTACGGACAGCATTTGTTAGCTAGATAGAGCTCGAAAGCGATGTTGGTTGAGGTACGGGTCATTCTTGGCGTCAAGAACCATTTTATCCCCGATTGGCACTTTTTATTTTAGAGAGAATAATTTGCTCCCGTCAAATATTCGATGATGCAAATCAAAGTGTCACTCAAGTATTCAATCTACACTCTGCGGCCGCACACGTTTATAGGCCGCATTGTCAAAAATGTAGATCCAGACCCGCGGACTTTCGCAACCGATTTGCAACTGCAGCGCCTGGCATTTGCATCCCATTTGCAAGTCGCCAAATGCTATTTTTATTTATCCGCATTCGCCAGTTGACTGTGGATATTCGCCGATAATCATCGGGTAATCCGCAGATAATTCTCGGATATCCAGGGCTCTAATTATGAACTTGTTATATGACATTTTATTTAGTACAGTACAGGCCGACCTCTTGACTCGACACACGCAAACCAAAACTAGATAAACGTTTACAATTGACCGAACTTAATGAAACATGCTACTTTTTTATAATCTTCCTATTCCCACAAATTTTACGCATTAGAACAGCAAGATTTAAGTTTAAACCTTTGACTTGTGTTTGTTGGTGTATGCCAAAAAAAAAAATTAATCTCCGAGAAGGTTTTATCAAAATCATGAAAGACGGAAAAAATACCGATTAAAGGCGAGTGATAAATACCTAAAATAAGCGTATGGGATTTCTTATTTGCAGTTTTATTTTTTATAAAGCGGAAAGAAGCAACTTTTGAAATGTTCCCGAGGCTGCATTTTTCTTCGCATACTACATCCCTTAACTAACTCGTTTCCTTCTCTCATCTTTACAGGGACGTTTTCTTTTTTCTTCACGGGTCATGTGCATGCTCTGGGGGTTAGACAATTCTATTCCCGTGTCCCGTGTTTTTTTTAAACGTAACCTTTGATTAATGCCGACTTTGTCCATTACCGAAGACGCACACCGGAAAGCACAAAATCACTAAAAAAACAATGAACACAAAAGAAAGAAAAAACAATTCGATTAAAAATTAAACTCAAAAACATGTGTTCCTACTATGTGAAATGTTTGACACGGGCCGCTATCAAATGACGTTTAATGGAGATAACTTCAATTTTTACTATTTCAGACAGACACGTTTCAGCAAGAATGCCGTTCGTGGCACAACTACTTTCGAAGCATGCATCATGTTCCGAATCTCGGATTAAACAAAAGAGTACGTGACCAGCTGTTTACTAAAACCTTATCAAGAGTGCGAATTAGCTGGTTCAGTACTGGCATAGTAATACGAAAGCGGAGGAAACACGAGACGGACCGTCCCATTTTTCCCCCGGTTCTGAATTACTATGTCAGCGTATTACATTTTCTATAAAATTCATAGGTATTTTTAAATAAATATATAAATGTTTCTCTGATGTTCAGAAATATGTTAGTTATGATCAGCAATATCCGCTAATGATAACCCCGGGTTGGTATTATGAACGGAAGGCTGGTTTTTCGTTTTTTCTAAACTGCCGATTTTGGCAAGCGCTCGAAGAACAGCAATCGGAAAACGCTATTGATCGCGGGAGATCCGACAGATGCACCGAATTCGTGACGTCATTTTTTTTTTCCAGCACGGGCAACTCTACGGCGAGGCTGGCGTGGTTATGAGCTTCGCCACTTGGTGTCGTCAACGCGTTACATCCTACCCGTTCAAGATATCCGAGGGCCGGTTGGGCGGCACGAACAGAGGCGAAGGGTCTAACCTGTTTCCAAAACAACCCTGTCCTCCTTCTCCTCTTCTCGGTCTCACCTACTCTCCCCGCCTTCCTTTCTAATCCCCAGTTGTGGGATTTGAGCAGGCGCAGGAGAAAAGAAAAAGCCGGTTTGGCCAAGTTTTATGGGCTACTCGCGCTCGGAGCTTGGACACGTTACGGTTAACGCCGTACTTCCGCGAAGCGTCGCTGGGTTTAGAAAAATGACGTAACGACATTTCATTTAGCTTTGGGAACATTCACCAGGTGCAATTTGGTAAGCGCTTAAAAGGAATGTTTGTCGTTTTCCGAACATAAAGCTTCGCCTCAGTAGTACTGCCACAGCAAAGTAAACATTTAAACGATGGGATAAGCGCTAGAGGTTTCTTTCAGTTCCCCTCTAAACGAATCAAAAACTAGAATCTTCCGTTTTATTTTAAAAATGAATCATAGCAAGAGCCGTTAGAGTCTAGCCAAATACGCGTGTGGACTTATTAAATGCCACACACATTGAAAGAACAACAGAAGAGTTATAAAACGTACATTTTACATCTTGTAAACCCTGAGATGGGGAACGATAAAAAAACGGACGAACACAACAAAATCTCAATTGATTGATCGATTCGATCAATCATTCTAGTTTTTGATTCGTTTAGAGGGGAACTTCAATTCGATTGATCCTTCAAAGCAGAGAAGCATTTAGGCTGCGACTGAACGTGAACCTACCAGATGTAATATATGTGTTCTTTTTTTCTCCTTTCACCAGAAGCTTCAGGCAAATGCGCAATATTGGGCTAATCATCTCGCTCGTCAAAGGTTCGGCCAGCCTATTTCCCACAGCCCGGAATCAGCGAAGCTTGGAGAAAACATTTACTGGTACGAAATATCCAGTGGAAGTTACAAGGTTTCAGGTAAAAACACCCGTACAAAACAAAAAGGCAGAGCAGTTTTTGTAGGCTGCTTTAATGGATCTACATCATACATAGACATAATCATTATCTGTATTCTAGTCGTAATATGTTTTGTTGTTAATAAACCCGAAAGTTTATTAGAAATAACAAAAGTAACTTGATTTGTCGAAAAAAAAATCCGGGGACACCTAAGCACTTCGTATGAGTTGTGAATGCGAAAGCATGAATGTCATTCTTTCGCTCCCTTAGTTCGTCTGCGGCGCAGTGGCGTGAGCGGTCAGGTTCCGTTACTGCCGAGGCAGCGGCCGACGGCCGACTACGCGCTCATAGGAAGTGGCTGCGCCGCGCTGAGGTTGGCCGTGCGGCCTCTCCGGAGTTGGCCCTTGCGGGCTCTGCGGCCAAGCCCGCACCTCTTACCGGGGGCCGAGCCGCTGCGTGCGCTGCGCCGTCATAGAGAGGGCTTCTCTGGTGGCGTTCCCTGAAACCACGCCGCGCGAGAGCCAATGGGAGTCACGCTCCTTGAAACTATGGCGCGCGCCAGCCAATGGGAGCCTATCCATCAGGTTTCTGCTACAGACGACAGTCTCCGCTCCATTGGGACAGGGAAAGGTGCCGTTTGTTGCGGCTTCGAAGCTGATGACGTCTGTTCGCTGTATGGAATAGTTAATGCTTACGCATTGATAATCTATTTATTCACACTCAGTCTTGTTTGACGGAGTTAAGGGACAACTAAGGCCACCTAGCGCGGTGCCTACAACCGTGCTTACATGGGAATAGGTTAAAGGAAAGTAATATAATACGAGTAAAAAATGCTTGAACAATTAAAAACAATTACATACGTTATTGCGGTCACAAAACGTCGCTATGAGCAAAGAAGTGAAACAAAATACATACAGACACCAATCACTATACGCAGATTTAGAGTGCGTAACTTTGAAATTATTTTTCTTATCATCCTGGTACACACAATCTTCCACGGGACAAGTTAGAGCCTGTTATAGATAGTCATAAAGAGCCAATAAAATTATTAATTAATTCGTACACTAAAGCTGCAGCATCCCACCAATCCCAATTTCACTTCGAAACAGGTACAATACATGTGAGAGATCGTTCAAACATCAGGTCTAAAGCAACATCACAATTTGAGCAGTTACGCCGATCTGCTAAGAGACCGATAGCCAATAGACTACTTCCATAAAGCCCTGCATGCAACACGGCGCGTGTTGCACTCTGGGAACTAGTTGGCCAGACAGAAGGGTGGCATGGTTTCGGTTTCGATCGACACGTCGAAAAGAAATTATATACAGAGCGTGGATTATTAACGGCCGTTATCTCATGTTTTCTGGTCCCGAGAGCGTCATTTGTGTTCTCTAAACTAACCTAAATGGCCAGACCTCGAAGCTTTAGCACAAGCCCGAGATGTATAGCTTGTCTTAACACAGGCTTGTTGTATTTTTGTACTTGAGCCTTTCTGTTAGCGTTCCAATCGAGGTATGTGGACGAGCCAGTGCTGGCGAAGCTCGGGGATCTTGCTTGCGTACGAATTAACAAGCTGTAGCAGCCAATAAGTATGGATACATCGAGCTCGCGCTCGATGTATCCATACATATACATATTAGTGTTGTTGAGCAGGAAGTTTGTCGAAATATTACTTACGCGAGGTAAAACGGAGGTGCCATTGCAAAGCTAAATTTTAACACAATTCTTATCTCTTACATGTACTGACCCGCAGCACTGCACGAAGCCCCCAATCCGCTTGCATTCCACTAATACTCAACATCGCGTATGCGCATAAAGTTATCTTGCAATCATAAAGGCACATTCGCACATACAGACCGTATTAAGAAAGCAAAAGTCGAGCACTTGTGTGAAGAATGCCGCACCGTTCGCCGGACGGGCATGAACACCTATGCGGTGCGCCTAACGACCAAACGAACGAAATTATTCAAAGCGCGTTTGACGGTTGCTAATGGCCATAATATGTGTTATGTGTTTCCTTTCTTCATGCCTGAGTATGCCGAGATAATTTTAGACACACCGTTCAGGCACAGATCTTAGGCGTTAGTAAAAGCTCGTTCAAAAAGGCTTAGCCAGGAGTAGGGGACGCTTGTCAGGGCCTCCGTCGTAGCTCGCCAATCTCAGCGTTTGCGGAAACTTAATCTTCTATCAGCATAAGATTTGAGTGGGAGATATATGATGGCACGAGGAAGACATCACAGTAACTTTTGTGCAGTAGTGAGGTCGAATTTGTTGCGTTTCTTTAAACGTTTATGCGTCAACGCTGGGCTCAACTTTGATTTATTCTCCTGTGAGGATGCGGCTTGTTTTTCGCCCAATGAAGTAACAAGAAGCGGACGTTTGGCAAACAAAATGCGTGTGAGGCTCGAGATGACCAAAATTCAGTTGTAGTTCACTGGTACTGGACGGGATTATCGAAATTGAACTCAAAGATGCACTCGTGGGGTGAGGTGACTAAGCCACGTCTCACTACGTTTGCATACGCACTCATAATATCCGTTGCTTCGGGAACCAAGGAAAGTGCCCCGGTCTTCGCTTCGTATCGCTCGAGAGTGAGTTCGTGAAAACGAGCTCATTCGCGAACTCATTCGCGAATTTCACGAATACGTTCCTAAAAAGTCAGATAATCGAAAACATAAGCAGCGCTTTCGATCGCGGCGTGATAGCATGAGATGAAGCTGGTCAGTCGAAATCAAAACTGAGTGGCCAACTAGTTCCCAGATCGCACTATGTGGTATTTCGCCGAGATGGGGCGCGTCGGTTTTAAAAGACGCCCATTGAGGAGCTCCCATATCACTGCAATTAAAAAAAATAAGATTCTGGCAACAGCGAAGAGCCATCGCCATTTTTCACCAGGACTTTTGCACGTTCTAAAAGCAATGCTTAATGCTGATTAACGAGGCGGCAAGATTTTGTTTTTGTTCATCTGAGTTTTATGATTTATGGTCGCTAATTTGCCTTTAAATTGGCTCAACGTACCGATAGACCAGACTGTACAAGTTCCTCAAATATTCTGTGAAAAGAAAAACATTTCACGAAGTTATGGAATTTTTGAAATTTCGTTTTTATCATGTTTCTTAAACCGGGATGGCAACATTGAAGTGTGCCGACCGATATGGTACAAAGGGGGCAGTAAGCCACGTTTACAACTGATTACAAGACGCTTGATGGTGGAAAAAGAATGATTGGTAGCTAATTCACTGAGAAGCATGCAAAAAGAAGAAAAAACAAACATTTGACATACTCGGTTTTAGACAACCTGCACGACTTGAAGGCTTGGACCATTTGTGACGTCACACCACTGGAGAGCGCGCGGGAAGTGGAATGCTGGATTCGGCATCATCTTCATTTACGGTTTTCTCAATTTCTACTTTGATTTTCGAGAAAATAAATAAGCACACCCTGAAGACTAAAGTTCGTGTAGCCAGAAAATGCGATTGGTTTCGTTAGGTCAAGAAACGGCAGGAGTACCCATTTAAGGCTTTACAGTTTTGTTTTAAAAATTCATTGAACGATTCAGTCATGTGGTTTGTGCAGTTCATGTACTAAAAGGGGGCATAATATAGGAGCTAATCGTTACGATATGTGAAATAAATTAACTATTTTTAGTTAAGTTTTTAATTAGGGGAAATAAAAACATCTGGTTGCACTAAAAAACTTGCTGACCATGATCGAAAACCACTCAATAAGTATACTTCTAAGAAAATTGAAGACGCGAAAAGAGCAGAAATTCGCTAAAGTCATCACTCGTGCAACAGGCAATAGGCTGGCAGTGAGAAAACGTGGATGATAAGGGACGAAAAAAACGGCGCGGCCCGTTATCGCACCAGGAGCCTTGCTCCTGCTGCATGAGTTCTAATTTAAGCGCTCCTGCGAGCTTTCCATGTTTTCCGAGAATCCCTAAAACTTATTGATTTAGTGGCTTTCGATTAAGCTCAGCAGCTTTCTAAATGAAAGTATATATTTAGTGCCACAAACTAAAAATATACATAACTTATTTTAACTAGCTGGACGACCCCCTATTATCTCCCCGTGGCTGAACAACTCACCTGATCAAACCGCACTAGTGTAGCTTTCGCTGAATTTTTAAAACACATCTGTAAATAAAAGAGACATCCCCTACCTCCGTCGTCACGACAACCAATAGGAAAATTAGATGCGTCACTTCGGAAACCGTTCCCAGTGAGCCTAAGCAAGAATCGTGTGGGTGTCTAAGTTCCGGGTCATTAATGACTCGGATACGTTACCTCTAGAACATTAGTAGTGATATAACAAAAGTATATACATGCCGCGAGTTGCGGCGTACGTTTGGTCTCGTGCTTGGGTTATGCTCTTCGTCATCGTCGATCGGCTGTATCTTAGATGCAACTCTGTGCATAACCATTATAAAAGATCGAAGTATATAAATATATGCGTGTATGGAGGGCGAAGAGGTATCTGGTTATGATTAGCATGTCAGAAAATTTCTTGATGGCGCATTTTCTCACATCACATTACTCATTCATAATATTGATATTTTGCTGAATTGCGTTGTGACGCTGTTACATTTTTGGTGTAAAATGTAGGATTCCGAAACAACAAAAAATATGTACGGTTTTGAATGACGAAACCTCTAAATTTAGTCGTAAATGAAAGAAACAAATAACATGCCCGTTTTATTGAAATGTTCAGTCCACATTTTCCTCTTTTTTAACGTAAACAATCCGATTTTTATACAGGATAATCTTCCTTAATCCTCAAAGACCGAACAATATCTCGAATACAGTCATTTTTATTAAGAAAAATAAACGTCGCAAGATACGCAAGAACAATTAAGTTGCTATTGTTAGTCATTGTTGTTGTGTTGCTGTTTGTTGGAAGCAGCGCAACAATGCATAAGCACGAGTTGTTTTTACACTGTTTTTTCTTGCTCCAATATGTCCAAACTAGCCCAAATTCAAGCTCTTTTATAGATGTTTCTTAAATTTAATGTCGTAACAAAACGTTTTGTGTTCGAAATTTAGAAGTATTTCCAGGCGCTTGCAATTTTAGAGTCATTACCCCATCAAATTACAAATTACTAAATAATTATTTATTATTAAAAAAATAATTATTGATAATAAATCAAAATCAATTACAAAACTAACACTTATTATAACTCTTGTTCCTTGTACTAGCTCTGATTGGAATCGCCTTTCCGCTGACATAGCCTCCATAACCAATATTATTGATTTTAAAAATGCCTTGTTTGTTCATTTTGATTAACCATTTTCTAGTTGGTATTACTGTTATAACATTGTGTAAATATTCTTGAAGTGTCTGAGCAAGCGTGCATTAATTAGTGTATTATATTTTATGTATCAACAACTGTACCCTTGTCACCTAATCCCCTCTCCCCTCTGTAATACCCTTCGGGGCCTTGAGGGTAAATAAATAAATAAATAAAATAAACTAAAATTTATCTGTTCCTAGATAAGTATGTCATGTAGCTAAGTTTCTCACCTTCTCCCTTCATACAAAGATTCTCTGAAGGCCCGTTCACACTCTTGCGACCGAGTTCGACCGAGAGAGACCAGACCGGTTTTTAAGCCTCTTGCGACTTCTTAGGACCAGCTCCCCTACAGCAGATCCGGTCCTAAGAGGTTGCAAAAGGCTTAAAAACCGGTCTGGTCTCTCTCGGTCGAAGTCGGTCGCAAGAGTGTGAACGGGCCTTTATGGTGAAGTCTGCTTGCAGATCTCGAGCGCTCCAAAAGCTCTCCATTTGGAGCGCGAATATTCCACGTGCAGATCTAGCTCGAGCTAATCATTTTCCGCTCGTAGATCTCTGGCACCGCTTGCTCTTTGGAGCGCCCTAATTGTGCTACAACCACACCGTGAATTCCCGTAGGTCTTGCAGGAAGTTGACAGAAGCGCGTACGTCATTTCCTTTAACTCGGCAGTGCGCACGCGCGGCGAGGTTGGCGAGGTCGCCGAACCGGTCGGGTTGCCGAGTTCGATCTTTTCGGATGCGTCGGGTGTTTACGCGGGATTGTGACGGCTCGAACGCTTCTACCTAGCGTAGATGAGGGATGAATATCCGGGATTTGAGCGTGGTAACTCGTAAGCGCTGACATCTGTGATCGTGAGTGGAAGTACGAGAAAAAGTGACAGAAAATCCCGGGGCAGACGCAATGTTAGGCCTGTTCATTTTGCAGCCAATGATTGTTTACCTTTTTACACTGCATGTCGCCGCGGTTTCCTTGTGCAATAAAGCAAGAACAAATTAGGCAGCGACCGTGAAAGTGATTGATTTGTTACCTCTTTGCGTTTATTGAAGTCTTGCCAGCAATCTGAACTCCAGATTGCTGGCACAGCAATCTGGAGTCCGCACAGCAATGGCGATTGTTGTACGTGTCTCGCCGCTTCGAGGCGGCCGAAAGGTATGGAACGGTGGCGAATGCGGACGTCTTTTTCGTTATTTGTGACACGGGCTCCACGGTACGGACATTTTCGCCCGGCCTGCGTCACGTGTTTTAGCAGGTGAACAGTGACAGTTGTGACATCGTCGCTAAGTTCAGTCGGCTGAGAGGTTGGTCGGCTTGTCACGTTCGAGCAGCGGCCATTTTGAATGGCCGACCGCCTCGGGCGAATCGGTGGGTCGCTCTAAAAATGCGAGTCCATCTTCCGCTCGTCGATTGGGAGCGGGTCCTACGGAGCGGAATTTTGCCTCCCTCATGGATTTTGAAAAAGCGCTCCGGATCTACCAGTGGAATTCACCATTAGTATAGTTCATTGCCGCGAGAAACATTTATATTTAGAGGTGGATTTGGAAACGTGTTTCTACGCATTTTGAGGCGTTTACCACAAAAGTGAAGCATGTTTCCGAGGGGCTCCTAACTCAATTTTCCCCTCAAAACTTAGATATTGCGCCAACTTTGCTTTTCATGAAAATTCGTTTTGTGACATGGGTGCCCTACCTAAACACTTATGTTTTTGCATTGAGTGGAATATCACTTTAGCGTATTGAGAAAACAAGCTTACAATTATCGCAGACGTGTTTGTTAAATATTTATCGTTCATAGAATGTTTTTACAATCAGTTTCAGAAGATAGTCACTTCTGGTTTAATGCTTTTGGAGCAACTGTGTTCCGTACACTGGTAGCTCATGCATCGGCAATCTTTTTTTTTTTTTTAAATCTAATGATCGCTGTCCATCGCGGCGTCTAATCGCCTCTGAAAGATCTCGGTGAAATATGAGAGTGCTAAAAAAATCGAGACTATTTAAATAACTACACTAGTATTTGAAGGCGATGGCATAACTACAAGATATGAGCAAAATGACAATCAACAGGTTTCCTAAGCAATACTAATGTTTCGTTTTACGTTCTTTAGCGAAGGGCACAGACAGACAACCTCTCGTGCCGGAGTCAGGCTGAAGATTGACGTCTCGTTTATTAAATATAAAACGAAATAAAAGAAAGGCGCCTCTGAAACGAGGCGCTCAGGTTACGCGCGAAGCGGACGAGCGGATGTTTATATCTCGAGCTGCATGCGAGCGAACGGTTGTTCTCGGTCGCTTTGGACTTTAGAGCTCGCTAGCGTCGGCGCGTCGGCGACTCCACAACAACTAATAATATATGTCTTAAAAGATTTACGATCAAAGACTTTTGCGAGTCCGAGAAATGGATGCACTTTCCTTTCATTCATGTTATTGACTTAACAAAGTCACGTAGGACAGGTTACACTTAGCATATATGCAACTTGATATAATCTTGATACAACAAGACGTTTACTACAAATCTGTGAAAGTATATGAATATTACATTCATTTCTTTACAGCTGAAAGTGCAATCAAATATTGGTATGAGGAAAAGAAGTACTACGACTACAACCACCCGCACTTCAGCTCGAAGACTTCTCACTTCACTCAAGTTGTCTGGAAGTCGAGCAGAACTCTTGGGTGTGCTAAAAGTCGTGCCCAGGAGGCGCATCGTTATAGATATTTTGTAGTCTGCAACTACCATCCCAAAGGGAATATCCATGGTGAATTCGGAAGGAACGTGCTGAGGCCTTCATGAACAGGCCAGGTGTCAAAAAACATATTTGGAGCGAAATAAAACAATGCTTCTAATGTAAAACATTACTAAAATAAAATAATTTGAGTATGTGACGCCCCAACTACCCTCTACATGTAATTAATTTACGAATCGTTTTTTTGGCGTAGAGTCTGAGAATATGACCATAGTTGGAACACGCACCGGTCAAACCACGCATTTATGACCCATCTCTAAAGGAGCCATTTTTCTGAGCCGATTTTATTAGACAATGGCGATCAAAAGTGATTTCCATGAGCACTGCCACTCTTCCTTACAGATAGATGGCCATGCACATATATGAAAATATTGCCAGTGTCACCCCAGTTGTACACTCTTCGACGCCACAGTGGCTTTGAAGAGTGTACAACGAACTCGGTAATCGACTATCGCGTTTGGACGTAATCGAGCGGTATTTTAAATGTCGGCTCAACTCTGAACAGATATATTACTTGAATAAGAAACCTTGATAAACGTGCTGTCTTACTGCATATCCTGCTGAAATAGCGTAATCCACAAGCAAGCATGCCACACTTATACATTTACAAAAAAAAGTGTTGTTGAAAAGGAATATCTCAAATGTAGCATTTTCAGCCTTTGGCGCGTAAAGCCATCCGCGACTCGAACTCAAGGCCTGTGCCTGACGTCATCATTAATAGATGCCTGACCCGCCCCAATCAGCAAACACGCTCACGCTCGGCGAGAGACTCCACGAGAGGTGCTGCGAAACGGCGGACGCGTCCGTCTTGGCGTTGCCGCGTTCTAGCGTTGCGCTCGTGGTTAACACGAAGACCAAAACAAGCTAAAGTCCCACTTCAAAGACGTGCACAAGGCGAGCACAAGTGACCAACCGAAAGAAAAACAAGAATCTCCCAAGAATAATCCGAACGCTCAACGCTGATGGCGATACAATGCAAAATTGGTCCCGTTCTCGACAACCGCTGCCTTTCATTTCCATGTGTTCGAGGACTCCGTCACCCGCCATTTCCCCCATTGAAAATCTCAGAAAATCACTTATAACTTTTAAATAAGATGGCGGTTAGTGCTGAAAATGAGGCATCTGATTCGTATCGGTAGCGTTACATTTGGGTGGAGCATGAGCGTCGCGGGCGATACGTATATTATTTTTGCGGTGGAAACAATACTAAATATCTACCGGGTGTCCCAAGTAGCGGCCAAGCTCTTTAAATCAAACGCAAAAATCGGTTTCTTAACCTATTGCTCTACAATCTTGTGCAGCGTTGACCACAAATGGTGCATTTTTTTTTTTTAAATGTACAAACAACGAACTTTTCTCAGGAAAAAGTAAAGAAAGTAAAAGGCTTAGCTCCTATGGAAACGCAGCGAAGCCACCGGTCTTCAAACAATACGGCGCCGTTTCGCACGGGAAACAAGAGATGGCGCAAGCGGTCGCGACGCCAACTGCCGCCAACGAACGAGCAGACGGCGCCGAGAGCCGGCGTAAAATAGCAGATGATCTTTTCGACTTAAAAGCGGCGCGAGCTTTTTTTGATCTTGTCACGAATGACAATTGATAAGGCGATTCTCGCCTCATCAATTGATGAGGCGAGAACCGGTTCTCGAATTTCTAATTGCCGTAGTCATCAGCTGTGCGACCTGTGCACAGCTGATGACTGCGGCGATTAGACGCATAGCCGCATTCTAGGTACTTTTTCCCTACGGAGTTGCTGACTGATCGCGCGGTCAACGCGACTTTAAAAAGGGGCATCCGAGACGTCTACCCAAACGTCGTGTTTTTCTTTTCATCCACTTTCTTTTTTTTTTGTGTGTGTAACACAATTAGATATATATATATGCTGCAATTATGTGTTCTACTCGCTGATCCACAGGCTCCATGCGAATTTGCTCAATTTCTCGTGCCGACTTCCGCCGCTTGGCATCGGGCGCTCAGGTGTGTTCAGAACGCTTCTCGGAAAAGGTCCATTCCAGTCTCAAGTTCACAAGCAGAAATCGCTGAAATAGTTACATGCTATTTTTGCTATGATCACCATCTAAAATACAATTAGTTCATCCTCTATAAACTTTTGAAGGAATAACATGCAACTATGCCTATGTCTTTTGCTGATGCACTTAGAACCATAAATTTCAAAACAAGAAAAAATAAAAAAATAACATTTTGTTGTTAATTAACCTTCTGAACCTGCAACTATAATGGAAATAAAACAAGCATATACAGATTCATTAAAAAGGTATGTTTAATATCTATCTTGAATAAATTGCTATATCTTTATTGTAAACGTCCCATTCTTGCAAGCATATCAATAGCAGTGATAGAAATGAGACAGAGGCATCTGGGACGTTTGGGATGCGAGTCACCTCTCCACGGCCATTGCTACCATGGCTGCTGCATGCCAGTTGACAATGTCACCAAATACTTTACCAGAAAAAAATACATTCATCGCCATTCATTTACGCCAGCGCACTCACATTTTGGCACTGTGGGTGCGATGCTACTCTCCTAGCGGTGTAGACACCACGCATCTGAGAGAATGCATGAAGATCACACCGTCCACGCTGTAGAGCAGTCATGCCACACCGAGGGAGAGCCCTCATGAGTGAGGTTTGCCGAGGTTTGTTTAAATGTGGAACGCGATAGCAATAACGGGCCCCGTTTGAATAGCCTTCTCATTCGCTTCTCATGCTGTTCCTGCCATCCTGCCAGAGAGCCGGAAGTGGGGTGGACAGGGTCTAGTGAGTAGTCTGGATCGCAACCGAACGTCGTTGATTCGAATCCCGCCTAAAAATCTTCAAATTTTTCCCTTGAAGCAAAGGAAAGGAAGCAAGTGAAGTCATTTCAGTCATGCAGTTTCCTTTAATCTGAATAACATTTCATGTTTATTTATCGCTTTCATTCCAGGTGTTACGTCGCATTTCACGTGAGCGTTATTGGTCGTTCGAAATTCCCGCGGGAGGTCATGTGAGTGTGACTTCATGACGCTAACGACCACTCAGGATTTTCACGTCACGCCACCGCCGCCGGCTTTTCTGCCACTGCATCGAGACCGGTGCGACTTGCTCTCATTATCGCTATCGCGTTAAAAGAGTTTATTTACATTCGAGAGGTACATGATGAGGTAGAAGCCCATTAGACAAAAATCTGTGATATTTACAACTTGACAAAGCCGAAGGCACCCCCACGGGCAGACTCACAACATGAATGAATCGCATAATAAATAAAATAAGCAAAGATAGTCACGGTATTGGTTCAAATATAACGTATAATAATAAGCACAGCATGACAAAGAAAACTAAGCCTATGAACGCATAAAAAAAAGCTAAAACTAAAGAAGCTATGATGTCGACGGAAAAATTTGACCTACAAAGAATAAGATACACATTAAAAATAAAGTAACAGATGTTTCAAAAAACAAGATATTTGTTCTTCATCGAAGTATAAAAGTTCAAGGCTTGTTGAAAAATCTTCCATAGAGGAAGTTCGTTAAATCAAAATATATATGTTGTTAAGTCATTGGCATTGCGTTGCATTCGTAGTTCAGACAATAAGAAAGAGTGTACAAGATTGTACATGATTGTACAAGATTGTACATGTACAATCAATGTGCCGCTATCATACGTTTTACTCTATTTGCATGTGTGTTCGTATGCCTTCTATAAAAAAGGAAACGCCATTTCAACTAAGTCGAAACGCAGCCGACACTACGAACTGATGCTACCAATCATACAGCAACAAAAGCGCACCATCATGGTGGTCGACATGTTTCCGTGTGTGTTCCATCATCGCCAAACCAACCAAAACAGAGAAGGCCCAGTGAACTGCGCTTTTGAAGCTGCCTGATTGGTCCCAGTTGCTCGTACAGCCGGCTGTGTCCGGACACGAGCTGGAACGAAGCCTTGGCCTGAGGTTTGATGAATAAATCTAATATTTCTTTATGGTTTAAAACGCATATCTATATATATTTCGATTCATCCTCCAAACACTCTGATACTGCAAATGCACAATGACTATATTTGCCTATACATAAGCTACACTGGTATGTCTTGAATTTAGGCCGATATTTTATTATGTCTTTCTACAGAGATGTTAGTATACGTTAAACTCTAATAATGTTTATTTTTGTGACGAAAATATATTTTCAGTTAGATAGAATCTAGATACGCAGTACGTATAAAAAAGATTCAAGACACAATATGTGCCACATTTTCTCGTAGCAAGAGTTAACCTTTAACAATTTTTAAAAGGGCATCTAGAAGGAAAACAAGTCAGAGAAGAAAGCTATTGTATTATGGTTTTAAATGTCATGTTTCAGTTTCGTCCTCGAAAAACCCGTACTCTATCTAGGAAGCATCCTAGTAGAAAGGTTGGTGTTAAATGAAATCTCGGAAAAATAAGGTGATCTTCAAGATAGCTGCAGCATGAGGACTTATCTACCAGTGCGGTTTCAAAATAATTGCACGCCTTGCAATAAGTGCAACAGTGTCGTTGCTTAGATACATGATTTTGACATGAAATAACCTTACTGTGTTAGAAGTTCAGGGTTGTCGAATGCGCTGCGTTTATAAGCCAGAAAATTCATTCGAATATTAACTATTAATATCCTTACGTCACATATAATAATGTTAATTATAAACTCCTTGAGATGCTTAACGAACAACGCGCACATGAACATGACCAGTATTTATCCGGCTTCTTTTGTTTCTTGTGTGTTTAACGCGAATCAACCGGTCGTAACTGTATACCTGCTAAAAAGTAAAATGCTTCAATCTTGTCTAATATTCAGTTCCTTTTAGCAAACTCGGAATTAAATCCCACATTGCAGCCTTACAGAGAATTATACAAAACTTTGGTGCTACATCAAGCACCAAAGGGGTCACACGCTGGTTGGTTAAAATGCTATTGTACGCGTATATACTATTTCTCGTGGTGTGTAAAAGGCTCGAACTCTTTAATAGAGATGTCCTAATAAATGCAACGGAATATAAACGAATCTGACAATTTGTTTTCG